TCCCCAAACTTTAAAAAAATTGACTTCTATATCAAAAATATCCACAAACTCTCTCCTACTAGTATAGCTTATTAACCAGAGTTTTCCTGGGAAAAGCAGGTGAAACTTGTTTCTGAGATTCTGGATGTTACACAGTTTGTAACTGCTTGTAGGCCAGGAAACAGCAGTTCTTCTAGAGAACATGCTATTGCACGAATGACTAAACAAGGAAATTTCACTTCAAAGGCTCAATTTCAATAATATAAGCTAGATGATATGAAAAGCTGTGCAATTCGTTTTGTTTTATATTTACTGAGTTGTCCAAGCAGGTATGGTGTATTAAACTGGATGCAATTGTTTCACTACACAGCTTAATCCCCTTAATCCTTGATTCTGGGCTGTCCACAATGAATCTCTTTGACCAATAAAAAGATGCACAGTTTGGACCTAAAGGCTGCAGCTTGAAAGGCTGCCTTTTCAGGTTTCAGTCACCTATCCTTAGTCCAGGGAAAGCCTGGTGCCACTAAAATAAATGATTTTCTGAGCACCTCACGCCGTGAGGAAGCCCAAGCTAGTAAAAGGCAACCCAGAGCTCAGCCGCTCCAGTCCAGAAGCAGCATGTGCATGTGAACAACATTCCAGGGCTCCAGACTCAGCCACGCCGACTGCAACTGCATGAGGGCCTCCACGTGTGAGCCGCTCAGGCACACACAGCAGTCCCCAAGAGAACCAACGGTGAAGGAACTGCCAAATTAATCTACTCAATTCTGGGGTGACTTATAGCAATAAATATCCAGAAAGTTGCCTTATACCTTCTACGCATATCTGTTCTCTGAAACAAAACGAGAATTTGAAATACTTCTTTGAGGGCCAATGAGATAGGTCAGCAGACTAAGCACCTGTGTAGGGACCAGGGTTCGATCCCTGGTACAGCATGATGCACTGGCCCCACACCCGTGTGCCCTGAGCCCACCACTGGAACCAAGTGTGGTAGCACATGCCTGTAATCCCAGTGCTGGGGAGGATGAAAACAGGAGGATCTCTACGAGTCCGAGCTGCATAGTGAGACCCTGTACCAAATACATTATAAAGGAAAAAAAATAAAAAATAAAAAATAAAGGCTAGCCCAATAGGTCAGCAGATTAAAGTGCCTGCAAGCAGGTGCAGGGGCCAGGGTTCAATCCCCAGGCCTGCCAGTGCTGGCCCTGCCCCCAAAGTGCGCTGAGACGGCAACTAAGACTGGGTGTGGTGGCGCACACCTGTAATCTCAGCTCTTGGGAGGCTGTAAATAAGATCACTACGAGTCCAATCTAGTAGTGAGACCCTGAACACCCTGTAGACCCTTCTTTAAAATACAAAAAAGAAAAGAAAAAAAAAAAAGGGGGGGCCAGGGAGATGGCTCAGTAGAATAAGGTACTTCCCTGGCAAGCGCAAGGGTCTCAGTTCAATCCCCAGTTCCACCAAAAAACAAACAAAAAAACCTTTGAACTATTTAAATAAGTCTTTTTATAAAACTATAATCCTTTGTATTTTATAGAATTGGAAAAAAAAGGCTTACACTTCCTGAATGTCTATGTTCTGAATGCTTTATATGACTTAGCTTATTAAAAATATTCTTGAATAGGGCCAGGGAGATAGCTCAGTAGAATAAGCATTTGCCTGGCAAGCACAAGGGCCTGAGTTCAATCCCCATTTCTGGGGATTGAATATATATATATTCAATCCCTGTTACA